AAAAACGCTATGGAAATTCAACAGGCTGTCGTGCATCATAAACGTGGCTAAACAATTCAATTTTTACATAGGACGAAAGAACAGTTATTTAGCTTTTCAATGATACTCTTTTTAAATCGTAACGATGAGAAATGGCCACATACTCGTCAAATAAAAATTGCCGGTCGAAATCACATTCTTCCACCGTTGGGAATTGCATGGAAAACGAAACAAACAATTCCCAAGAGGGAATTAAAATTGAATGTTAAATTATCTAAAATAAGCTCAACTCGTCAATCTTCGTCTTAGTGAGACAATAACTCAATACGAATTTGGTACGAAACATGGTTCAATTAACCCCTGAACAGAGAACATTCGTTATCAAAACGTTTTATGAAACAAATAGCTTGCAGCAGGCTCGCGTTGCTTTTGGATTGACTAACTTTGCATAATTAATGTATTTTCAATTCCCAACGGTGGAAGAATGTGATTTCGACCGGCAATTTTTATTTGACGAGTATGTGGCCATTTCTCATCGTTACGATTTAAAAAAGGTACCATTGAAAAGCTAAATAACAGCTCTTTCGTCCTATGTAAAAATTGAATTGTTTAGCTAAGTTTATGATACACGACAGCCTGTTGAATTTCCGTAGCGTTTTTTCTTTGAGACACCCTGTATATATATATATATATATATATATATATATATATATATATATATATATATATATATATATATATATATATATATATATATATATATATATATATATATATATATATATATATATATATATAAAACTAAATGTAAATAGCAGTTACTTTCATCCTGCTCATCAGCACTACACTGATGAGGCCCATGAGGCCGAAACGGTACCGTCTGTAGTTATACGAATAAGGCCGAAACGGTACCGAAACGGTACCATATATATCATATATATATATATCATATATATATATATATATATATATATATATATATATATATATATATATATATATATATATATATATATATATATATATATATGAATGGGTGTGAGGTACCATGACTGGATACAACCTCGTTCCCAGGGCTTTTCCCTTTTTGTCATTGGGAAGGCGGGAAAAGGCCCTGGCACCGGCCGGTCTTCTATGTATTCTGATTGGTCAATGACAAGTACATTATTATGCAAATAATGCAATCTTGGATTAATTTATTCAAACTTTGGGATAAATTAACATTTCATGCAAGGAGTGACATTATTAATACTTTGTCCGTCTAAGAAATATTTTTGGCAAAATCTGTGGCAAAATTCGTTAAGATTTATACACAATTTGTCGAAGGTTAGTATTATTGTTTGTTTTAAACTGTGAGAGAAGATTAATTGTGTACTAGAACACACCTCTGAGGCTCTGACCGAGTATTTAGGGCAAAATGTGCCTTCATATTTGGCTTCGTATAGCGTTTATAATGTTTATATTTATAAAACTAAAGTCTGGGTTTATAAACTTAAACATGACCTTTAGTTTTTGATATTCTTCATAGTCGAGTTTAAATTGGCCTAATTTATAGTTAGTTACCACTAGAAATGCGACGATATTTTGTTATATCATATATGCAACAGTGTTTACAACTTTTGAATAATATGTGATTTGGTTTTGTTTCAGATACTATTACATGTTGCTTCATTTTACCATAAATTGTGTTAAAAAAGTGATTTGCTCATTTGGCTGATGTTACAGTTTTCTGATGTGTTTTGTTTGGATGATATTAGAACAATTTCAATATGAGAGTGCAGGTGTCTTTAGACATCAGCCATAATATATATATATATATATATATATATATATATATATATATATATATATATATATATATATATATATATATATATATATATATATATATATATATATATATATATATATATGTGTATGTGTGTGTGTGTGTGTGTGTGTGTGTATGTGTGTGTGTGTTTGTCTGTGAGCACGATAACTCAAGAAATACCAAACATATCCGTACGAAATTTTTTGAATGCATTTCCCATCGGCTAAGGAAGAACTGATTAAAATTTGGTTGAATTTGGTTAAAAATTGAACGAGAAATGAACAAAATTTTGTCTTGCTTTTTCCGGTCAATTAACAAAAAATATTACTGAATGCGTAATTAGGACATGTATAATTTATGCACTCAGTGCTAAGACAATAATGAGATGATAAACCTCATTAAGCTTCGGCCTTCATTATCTATTGTCTTAGTTGCATTTCACGCGACCGAAATTCAATATCTAAAACAAGGCTTACGGAGTTACCCATTATTACGTTCAGCAAAGTGCCAGTCCATTCAAATTCTAACAACATTAGATTACTTCAATACAGGGTGTATAAAAAGAACGCAACCTCGGAATTTCCCAAGAAATCGACATTGGTTTAAAGACAAAAGATTTTAGCTGCCTGGGAATTTAAAATAGCACAACTGTGAAAATTACTGCACGCGCGAGTGCATAAAGCAAAATTTATGCATTTATTTAATGAAACTTAATAAGTTTTTATTTTACAAGTACTGTACAGTACAACAACAGTAATATGTTCTATTAGCAATTCGATTTCAATTCGCGGGGGCCTGAAATCTTTTATGCTTAAGAATTATAAAGTGGATTTCTTAGGAAATTCCAAGGTTGCGTTCACTTCCGAGTAACGGGCGGAGGTATGCAGTCTCTGAGTGCCTCTAGTTGTA